GGGGGTAGGTAATTGGCTCTCCCCTTCTTAAACCAGGCCCCCGACCTAATGCATGTAGTATACCTAGTGCTCACCGTTTAATGTAGAAAGTTATGTTAGATCCTTCCCTTATCTGATACAAGATAAGATACGATAAGATAACAAAAGATTAGAAAGACAGATAATATTCGACAAGACACGATAATATGATAACATTCTACTTTACTGGTGTTATCAAAGATAAACATTTTGCAGAATGGTAAATACATACACGCATACGCCAACACACACACACACCCAAACATACACACACACACACACACAAACACCACACACACACACACGCACACACAAACGACCGTAAAACAAACTAAAACCCAACAAAACCCATCACACACAGCCCGGTCATCCCAACACACCCTATCAACGACAGACAGGCAGCTATATTATTATTGTAATACCAGCCAGATAGAGAAAAGACACCCCGAGAAAAACTCAGGACAGAACAATCCCACGGTGTTCTGTATGGATCGAACCTGATACATCTGGATTACGAGAGACAGGGTATCCCAACCCCAGTGCAAAGCTGACCCTTGCTGGATTTAATGCTCAGTGCATACTCCGACTCCAAACGAATTTGGTCGCATAGAAGCGGGGCCAGCCATGAGTGGGGCAAAAACTGCATTTTCCACACGATTTGACGAAATACTCCAAAGTCAAACATGGTTGTGTTTTGCTTTGTTTTGTTTTATGTGTGGACTTGATCAAATTTCACCAAAATCGCAGATTTGGCCCTTAGATAAAAGAAAATTCTGGCCGGCCCCGACTGTAACAAATCGACGGTTCAGTTTAAGAAACATGTATGCCACTTCTTTTTTTTCCTTCTAAATTCGACTCAAATGAGAGCAGTGTGCACTGGGTTTAAGACGGACTGGAAGAAACTTGAGAGGTAGAAAAGGTGGGCAGCACTTCGCAGCAGACTTTACAGCTGTCGTTTTGAGTTGCAGTTCACGCTGTCAATCCGATTTATTTAACTGAGTCAGGGCCAGCAAGATTTTCCTTCATGGATTTGGGAGGGGGGGGG